ACTGTAGGGGTGGACGGGGCTCTCTACAAACTACATCCACAGTGAGTCATTTTTTATTTTTATTTGCTGTAGTCATGGTGTGACACTAATGCTAAAATACTTTAAAAGGATTCAGTTCAAGTAAACGTTTGTTGTTACTGACTGGAATCAAGAGCCATTTTTACTCTTCGCTTCTTCAAATTACTAAACAAAACACTAAACTGTTTTTTTTATTCTGCTGCTTCTTTCTAGTTTCTCTGGAGTCCTCCAAGAGACTGCCAGAGTTTTGGCTCCTCAGTGTAATGTGACCTTCCTGCCATCAGAGGAAGGCAGCGGGAAGGGTGCTGCCCTCATCACAGCTGTGGCTACACAGAAGCACGACTGAAAATTATTTTTTTTTTTTCATAATTTGGAAAGCTCACTCTCTGAACTGCTGCTCTTATTGCTGCAAGTGTCCTCTGCTCATGTGGAAGAGCTGCAGACCACCATGTGTTACCTCAGATACAAATGGAACAGCCAACATGTTTCTTTTCACCTGACAGCAAGGAGCTTAGTGGGGGAAAACACACACACACACGCAGAGGTTTTCACTACATGATCCCTCACAGGCTTCCCACTCATGAGCACATGACTGATGACTCGGATTCCGGACTCTGGTTCCCAATAATGTTTGAAGAACTGGATTCCAATTAATGTATTTTTACAAAATGACAAAGCTTGTCACAACCTGCTTCTCTTCTTAGAGAAAAACTTTTTATTTGTCCCTTTAAAAGTCATTTTTTTAATGATTGGCTTTGTACAGAGATTCCTTTTTGTTTTTCAATATAAATGAATGACCAGTCTAGCAAAAATATTTGTTTTTTTAACCCATATTTGGTACTTGAGTGCCCTACTTTCCAATCATTACTGCGTCAGTCGTGGGAAAAGAGTCACACAGCTGCACCATGACCTGCCAGTGTTAGCCATGCACTGATTGTGATATCAGCGCTGAGGACTTGGTTTTGGAAAAGAAAGAACACTCATCATCATAAATCACACCCTGCAAACTACTCAAGGTTAGCGCCTCATCTGACTGCCAGTTCAGTTGTCAAAATGTGATTATTCCTTACATATGTTAAAAACTGTCTCTGCCCTTCTGATCAAACATTCAGGCCTCATTGCTTTCTTGCTAAATGTTCCCATTTTCTGGCTGTTTTGTATTAATGATTGTTTTTTTTGGTTTGTTTTTTTACAAAATTTTCTGAGTCTGAGTTGTTTGATTATAAAACTCAAAAAATGCATACATCTTTATAATTCTTGCTGTCTTCCTTAATGTGTTTGAAATCTTTCTTTAAATTTTACACTGCATTAATTTGTACCCGAAATTTGGTTTAGAAATTCTTCAGTTCTTCAAACCATGATTCCTACACAACAATTTAATCATTTTTCAGTCTAGTTAGACAATGTATGGTTTCGCCTATGTTGGATGGAGGAAGAGACAAAGAGAAGGTGTGTGTGTCGTGTGTGTGTTAGTCAGCAGTATCTCGGTATTGATGAAGGGCAGGAGGAGGATTGGAATGCCGCTGACCACGTTTCCCAACAATAACAACAACCATTGCTCTGTTCTGTCATTCTGGACTGACTCTCTGTCCTTGTGATTGCCCATCTGTCTCTCTGCTCGCTTTCTGTCTGTCTGTACATCTGTGCCATTTTGGTCATTCTGCCTGTCTGCTTGCTGGATTACTGCCTATTCGCCTGTGTCTTTATCTGTCTGTCTGCACAGTACAAAAGAAAAAGACTTCAAACGTTTAGATATTTTAGTGTTTTACAGTTGATATTTGTGTTTACAAGTTCATTATAATCTCGAACTACTGATTTGACATTACTGGACAGGGAATGAACAGCAATGATCAGGGTACTTATGCTAATCCATTTCTGACTGATGAGATGATGTGTTGAAGATGAAGGCAGGCAGAAATCAGCAGCAGAGTGCAAGGAATACAGAAAATAATGCAAAGCAAAAACAAAACATCAGAAGAAAACATGTTAGAGAGGATTACAGAAAGGGAGGGGGGAAATTTATTGAGGGAGGCTGCGTGCTCCTAGGAGTGAAACAGTAGCTAATCTTTCAGGGATTAACATGTTAGAATGCTACCAGCTGAGGGCTACGTCACACATACAAACACACACACAAACACACTCACACACACACAGCACGGTAATCCCATGCTGTCCTAGTAGTGACCTAATAGCTTCACAGTTAAACCACACATGCTCTGACTAACACAGCTGTGCTGCTGAATCTTTGTGTGTGTGTGTGTGTGTGTGTTCAAAGCTCTGTGAGAATGTGGATGTGTGTCTTTGTCTCCCCTGTAAACCAACAATAAGAGCTTTGACACACACATGCACACACAAACACAGAAATGGTCACCAGTAGATGGGCAGAGTTGAGACACTGATTCTTCAGGGCTCACAAAGGGACGAGCTCTGTCTCTTTTCTGGTAGGATTGTGCTGTTCTTTTCAAAATACAGTTAGTGTTCAGGGAGCGCAGCTTTCACTTTTAGAGAGATAAAATGAATCAAAGCTTGAAACCTGGATTTGACTCTCTATACGGGGTGGACAATGGAAAAATTAGACACCACAACGCCCCAAAACATCATTGTGGTGACAACTGTCGTATGCCAGCTTTGCTTGATCATGGGAAAACCTCACCAATGAAGGTAATTTAAGTATCCCTATAGTATAACCTGGAGGAGCTAAGACCTGCTGGGATTATCTGTAATAGTGCAACTGCTGGGTCAGTGGTGAATATGTGGGATTAGTTGTGATGATGATACAAAGTGTGTAGGTAAACTTGAGGGATAAAGGTTACTGTGTGTTTTCATATAAAGTAACACTGCAGAGATCCATCGTACTTGTTGGCAGCTGGTTTTCTGAACTGCGTTTGTGCAAGTGGTTAATTTACTGTTAACTCTCTGCCTGTAGCTGGAGCAGGGTGGCTAATAATAGCTTATATAGGTATTAATGCATGTATCAGTTTAGCTGCCAGTCAGCACAGCTGGCCCTACAACATGGTGGCTTCCCTGTAATCTTTACAATGAGAGACGTGAATGTAACATGGTCCTATAATTTAGACAGAATAAACGCTGAAAGAGCTGCAGATTGAACTGACTTCCTCACAGCGGTCATTTTGATTTCCACACTTTTTTGCACTTTTTATGTTTTCATTCACCTTGGTTATACTTGAAAATCTTGTATCTGTAGTTTCTAAAAACTGTTTCATCATATTAAAATCATCAGAGGAAACCAACCACATGCTGGTCCATTTACCAAGGGGATAACACTGATGGGACATTATGCTGGATAAAGTTACTATCGTGATGACATTTTTTCTATCTTTGGCTGTCACTATTCAATAAAGGCAAAAAAAAAAAAAAAGCTGTGTAAACAAACACCAAGACTGATATAATTAATACTTTGACTAAGAAAACTGACCTGCACTGTATAAAAATGTACCAATTACAGGATTAAGAGCAGACTT